AGAGAGAGAGAGAGAGAGAGAGAGAGAGAGAGAGAGAGAGAGAGAGAAAGAGAGAGAGCTCCTGATTACATAATTAACACTATTTTTGATACATAAATGAAGTATAATAAATAAATATAAATTACGTATATATATACTTTCTGTAAAAATCGCTTTGCAAGAACTCACTCTATGAGTGTGTACGTATGTATGTGTGTGTGAGCGCAGGCATATAATTGTTTTGGGTGTGCTCAGTGACTCGGTAGTATCCGCTTGATTATTCATCGACGAACTAATGCATATATCAGCACGCGCGGCCAGACACGCGCATGTACACGCAACACACACAGTAAATACGACTTAAAGAGATCGTCGTCGAGATAGAACAGATGTGCCTTCCTTAGGTAAGATACACACACACACGACAGATAAGATAATGGGGAAATGCTGAAACGGAAGTGACCAAATTACCCGCGCCTACATTTTCCGTTACGGTCGCGTCTGATTATCGTACAATCTCATTTTAGCTACGTTTATATTCTCTTCTTTTCTTTTTCTCTGCTCGACGATGCGTTGCTTTTTATTGTAGAACGCGAAAGAAGAATACATACAAATAATTATATTTATACAGATAAAAAGAACATTCTTGTTTTGAGAATATCTTTATTTTCGACATATTATCGAAATCTTAAAATGAGGTTGCATACCGTTAGGCGAAGATAAACGAGAGTGAGTCTCTCGATACATTTCATATGATTCAACAAAGAAAACATATATTCTCATTGTTCAGAAATAATCTTCATAAAGGGAAAATGCAAAGTAGTGGATTGAAAATGTGTTTTCAAATGTTGGAAGAAGATGTCGTTATACTTGGTCTGGTTTCCGGGTTAGTTGCCGGAGGAACGACCTGAGACTTCTCAGGTGCTGAAGCAGTGGTCTTCCGAACAAGTGAGCTGGAATGTCCACGAAACGTCATCACAAAAAAATCTATGAAGGATGCGACACCAATCCGGAAGTCAGATCAAACATTTCACCACACCGCGGAAGTCTTAACTATAAAGATACCATTATCATCAAAATATCATCATACATATATTGTACTTCTCGTGAGACTGTTATAATATTCAAGTAGAATGATAAAATTGTATGTTGTCGCTTATACACGAAAGAATAATTGTTAATTTTAGTGTATTTAGTTTCAAACGGACACTAATTATTTTTCTATGCAAACATGCGCGCGCTAGAGGTGACGAGGGGTCGCAGCTGCCGCAAGAGCAGGCAAAATAATGCAGATTCGGTAGGAAGCACACGTGAGGGGCCTGACAGTGACGAAAAGGAAAGCATGACAAAGCAACAATGAAGCGAAGGAGCAAAAAAAGAAGGGACGGACGGAGCGTAGCGTAGATACGTCGCACAATGGTGTCAAATATAATTTCACGTTTCAAGAAAAACTTTATCGGATCAGTTTTCATCTCCTTCTTCAAAATCATACAAAGAAGTCAGATTTAAAAATTTGTTTCAATCAATTCAATCAACAGTATATACAGATGACTCATTTCATATCTCATTTAATCTAACATCAGGCACAAAGGAATATTGTGATATTGAAATCTCCTGATTACGGGTTTGAAAAAAAATCATACAGACTCTTGACGTGGATTAAATCTTACTTTAAACTTAACAAACGAGGTGAATTGAGACAGTACCTAATTTTAGCAAATAAAATCTACCAACTTAGATAAGATTAAATTATTATCACTATGCAATCAATTTTTGTAACAACTCGCGAACACACTTCCGCATTTATATCGGAATTGTTTGAAACAACTTTTAAATCCAACTTCTTTATGTCTGATTTAGGAGAAGGGAAGCGAAAGACAGAGATCTGGCTCGACAAGGTTGTTAGCTTTCAAAGTTCGACGAAGTTAGCTTAAAGAAGAGAAAAGGCATCGAAATTGGTTAAAATGTCGGAACTGCGGTCTCTTTTGAAGCGTGAAATTTCATTCGGTCGCACTGTGCGGCGCGGCGCAGGCGCGCGGCGTCGCGCGGCTTCGGGGAAGAGTTGGGGTCGCTTCTCGGCGGTGCCACCTCGAGGCCGGCGCGGCTCGGTCAGTAGTCGCTCTCGGGGTGGCTCGCGTCTCGCCGACTCGTTTCGCGCTCGTCTCGCGGTCTCGTGCGAGGATGTGTTCTCGTGGTGGCGCAGACGAGTCGTGATACGGCACGTGGTGCTGCTTCGCTCCTCTCCCCCTCGAGAACGACGAGAAGGACGTGCCGTGTGCGCGATGACGCGGGGGACGATCCTGCCGAGGCGATCCTGGAGCCGGTAGCGGTGCCCGCCGTCTCGACAGCTCAATAGGCTGCCTCACGGAAACGAGAGAAAGAAGAGAGCGGAAGAGGGAGAAAAGGAAACGCGTCGTCGCGCGCCCGTCGTGCGACCAAGGACGTCGAGGGCAAAACGACGAGGCCTCTTCGACGGGACGAGCGGAACGTGCGGAGAGCGTGCTCGCGAGGGAACGCACGCCGGGCCGGCGAATGGACGCCCGGCGTCGCCGACGGCGTCTGTCTGTTGCGTGCCGAGCGCTCTGCTGCGTGCTGATCCGAAAAACCTCCTGTCCCAGTCACCGTCGATCGCGTGAGATATAGGAGGATCTTGAGATCACAACCTCGCCGTGAATACAGGGTAAATACAGTCTGGAGAGGCGCGGAGAACGCAATACGCGTGACACAGCGCGCCCTAAAGACCGATCAACTTTACGCATCACTGTTGTCGTGTTATAATTTTCGCACACAATTGCACGTAAAGCATGCACTTGAGAATCGCAGTCACGCCGAATATCGAGGCAATGTACACGCCGGTTTGTGCGTCAGTTGGAGCATAATTATAGCTTTCAACTGATGAGAGAGAAGGAGAGAGAGAGAGAGAGAGAGAGAGAGAGATGCGGGCAGATGGCACACGTCCGAAGGCAATTCGCGAAATTCGAACGCCGGCTTTCTTCAATCTGTCAATCGTGTAACGGCGTTTCAAAATGGCAGTCTTGCGCGCTCTCGAGAATTCTCAGTTGCCTTTGTGTTCGAGGCTCAGTGTGTTGTTTACATTTTTTGCCCATACACTCTTCGCTAGCTTCGTGATGCGCGCGTTGTGTAGTACCTCTGAATGTAGTATCCAAAAACTGTTTACGCGTTAATCGACAACAGACGCGACAACAGCAGGCGACGGCGAGCGGAACGACCGCGAACGGAGATAAATTCACGGCAACCGCCGGTCCGTGAATTCACGCGAACCTCCTCGACCGTTCGTGGACGTACGATAATTTGATTAGGGGATATCGATTATTCGCGCACGCCGCGGGTCGGCGAAGATTAGTGTCGCCGACGTAGAGCGAGACGAAGAGGTGGAGGTGTGCCCCCTTCTTCCTCGTTCCGTCGGCAGCACGTCCGAGTTAAATTCGATCCCAGCTTCGCGATCATCCGCGTGGGTGTCTTCGGGTCGGAGAACTCGTGTCGTGACCGAAGCTCGGGGCGTAATTATTCTAAACGGTATTAGTGACCTCGACAAAGTTGAAATCTTGCACTTTTACTGATAAACACTGTCTCTCTCTTTCCTTCTCTCTCTTTAAATCAATGTGAAAACTATGGACATAGTATACATGGACGAATGCCCTATTTTCTGTCGTCTGATAAAGTGAAGCCAACATCTAGAAAAAGAGCAATAGAGGGGCTATAGTTTTCTTCCTATTTTGTCACTTTTTTGTTGCGCGTGCATCCATTTCTCGTTTCCATAATATTATAGAGCGCAACAGCACCCCGACTAGACTGTAAAAGTCTTATTTAAATCTTATTGCACTTTGTGCAGAAAGAGACAGAGAACAGAGGGGCTGTATATATTGGATTCTCTTTTCTGACTGTATGCGGAGTCTATATATATTATGTCTATGGTCTCTTTCTACATATTGGCTTCATTTTTCTGGCCGTATGCGGGGTCCATGTATACTACGTCCATGGTGAAAACCATCCTTTTGCCAATCGCGTTTTCTGAACGACGTTTTCAGGCCTTTATCTGATAAAAGCGCCAGTGGCCTGTACCCGACTCTGAGCAACATTCTTATTCTTTGATCTTTAAATACGGATAAAGTATGAACATTTAAACATGGGAAGATTGTAGCACTTTTTCTCATATAAATTCTTACATAAATCCTTTTCAATTTTACTAGGTTTTTAGTGGTGCAGGAATAGACTGCCAATAAGGTCTACCTTACAAAGGGACATAGCAAATTTTTTAATAATTTCACACATATTTCCTAAAATATAAACAGCACGTATGCGAGATGAAAGGATAGCCAATTGCTCTGTGGGGAATGCCGATTTCATTTCTCGACTATAAAATTTTGAATTCTTACAACAGAAATAGATTTTGGCATTTTGCAGCAAACAATTATCCTTTCGTGCGCTAGTTATATTTTTAGAACTGAAATTTGCTGTGTTTCCAGCAAAATTTGCCATGTTCCTAGGCAAGATAGACCTTGCTATACTCCTTTGCTGTTAGAAACATGAGAAGAAAAGTCGAGAAAAATTTACATATCAAGAGAAAAGGAAACTATGATCTTTCCTCCACGTGTATAGCGACAAGTAATATTGTTCGGGCGTTTTTCGCAAGAGCAAAAATACCTTATATCGTGGCGTTATTTGTGGCGTTGCGTTTTACATCGTGCAATTGCAAGTTGCCTTGGAGGACGTGTTCACTGAGTCGCTGCTTTCACATCGTGCATTTTCACGGTTGGACACGCCGAAATTCCATGCAGCACATAACGCCGATTGAATCGGAAGGGTGTGTGCGATTGTGTTGTTTCGACCGTCCCGTCTCGCTCTTCCACGTCTCGGAAAGACGTCGCGATTATGCGGCGCGCATTCGCGTTTTCCGCGAACGGGAGAACGTGCCGGCGGCTGAGTAATTTCAATTTTCCCGTTCCTCGGAGCGTTCGTCGTTCACTGCGTGCGTTATTCGCGTCGCGCCCGGCCGGATCTCGAATTATTTCGCGGAAATGACGCGTGGCTCGCTTCGCCGTTCCGCGCGCGGCATTTCCGCCGTCGGGATCGAAAACACGTGCTCGATCGTGCGATTTCAGCGAAGAGGAACAGCCGGCTGGTCGGGCAAACGCCGCCGTAAATCGAAGGATGATGCTGCCGGCGCGTTGCACGTCGTCGTGTTCTACGTCGTAAGAAATGATGATCGCACGGGGGAAATGCGGCGCGTTCCTCTCGTACGTGCGCGTGCCGACCGTCGCTGTATTCCACTGCGGCCGAAAAGAGCACGGTTCATAAAAGTCGATCGTGACAGCGGCGGGAATCTCGACCGTCCGTGCTTTTCGTGACGTGATTTACGAGACACTCTATTATCCGGCGCAAGTTCTTCCCGCGCTATTCAGAGATACTTAACTCTTTAAACGCGAACTTCTCGTCTTCTTTTCCACGAAGAATCTCTCTCTCTCTCTCTCTCTCTCTCTCTCTCTCTCTCTCTCTCTCTCTCTTTGTCTCTCTTTCCCCCTCGCGTTGCTTTCGCGACGAAGTCGGAGCAATTTACTTGGTCGTTTCGCAGTTCTTTCTCGAATAGCCCTCCGCCCCTTGGTCGACGCGATCGAACGTCGTTTGCTAACGAGTTCGTCGACGAGCACGGTGTGTCGCGACCAAACACGCTTCCTCGTGGCAATAATTAATAGCGCTTTCGTGAAACCGCACGCGGACACGGTAAACAAATCATTTATCCACGCTCGATCTATTTTACGCAAGAAAGAACATTCTTGTTTTGAAGATGCTTTGATCTTTGACACGTGAATCTCATAATACATACATAGGGTTGAACGAAGATGAATTACTCGTACCAATAGATTTTACATGTGATTCAACAAGGATAAATGTATCCTTATCATTCAAAAATGACTCTCATGAAAATGGATGGTGAAGAAAAATCATATCCTCGATTCGAAATGTCGGATTGAGAATATGATGTTTTCAAGTGTGTCGGGTAAAAAGATGTCTCATTGTAATACTATATAACATTGTTGAGACTCAAAACTTCAACATTTTCCCAACGGAATTATATATCGTTGCTTATATACGGAATATGAAATATTAACATTTGTGTGGAAGTAACTTTTGCTTCGTAAAGCTTGATCTACCATGTTTTCTTGGTGTTTCCTGTTTCTTTCCCTTGATCTCTTTCTGAGAGCCTTCGCACTAGAACACCCGTAACATGTTAAGTTTACGGATTTCTTTGTGCGTTGACTTAAGTTTAAGTTTACGTACAGGCCATTGTATTGTCAGTACTTAACGTAACGTAACATGTTACGGATGTGCTTGGGCGTTGGCTCTCAAACTTTAAAACTTGATCTACAATGTGTTATTTTCTTCCTGTTTCTTTCTCTTTATCTCTTTCTGACTCAAACCTTAAGCTTTAAAAAGAAGCCAGAAAAAGATAAAAGACAAGAGACAGAACGCAAAGAGCATATTATAGATCAGGCTTAAAGCTTAATGTACAATATGCTCTTTGCATCCTGTTTCTTGTCTTCTGTTTTTTTCTGACTTAAAGCTTAAGGTTTGAGTCAGAAAGAGATAAAGAGAAAGAAGCAGGAAGCAAAGAGCATATTGTAGATCAGGCTGAAGCCTCAAGTCAGAAAAATACAGGCAACAAGAAACTGGAAGCAAAGAGCACATTGTAGATTAAGCTCAAGTGTTGAAGCACCCTACACATGGAACAATGATTGTTGATTCGAATATATTATAGATATCAGTTTTAAGTGGGTATCAAGTTTGTCTTTGTGTACAGAGAGATCGATTTTCGACAGAAAGAGGAGACCTTGAGGAGCCGAGGACCTCGGGAGGATCTTGCGCCGTGCAGAGAAGTCGTGGACGCTCGGGGAAAGCTCCACATAGCTCCCACGGGTCGAGAATCGTCGATATCCGACAGTGATACCTCATTGTCCAAGTGAGAATCGGTGATAGCCCTTGACGAGAGGTCGCGATCGCGGCGCGATGCGGCGTCGCGCCGCTGCCCGTTGGTGCGTCGCGAGCTTACCCGTAGGATGGACGACGAGTGCGGCCGACGGGACGACGAGAGGAAGAGGAAGACGAGTGATCGTCGTTGTCAGTGCGTTGGACGCGCCGCGCGACGCCGGCGTCGGCGTCGTCGGCTGCCGTCGATTGCTTACCGCGACCACCGGCTGCGTCCGAGTCGGACTCGCGCGGTGATTCGCGTGTGAAGTAGACCCTCCGTCAACGTTCGCGAGCCGCTCGCCCAATTGGATGGAAGAGGACGACGGTGACGACGACGACGTCGGCGACGACCGGGACGACGACGACGAGGGAGACGACGATCACGGCGTGACGAGAGATGCCTGGTATCGTGGTGTTTGGACGACGCTGGAGCGTCGGCAGCGACGACCTCGTCGTGCCCGGCGCCTTTTTATTCATCCTGCATCTTATATGGTGAGTAATGAATACGCGAAGAAATTGCGATGAAATTTTTTTCATTTTATATTGTGAAAATTAAATTTTTCTTTGGGTCATATATAATGAGCTTTCTTTATTTCAAATTTAGATTAAAAAAGAATTTAAATTTATATATAAATTCATACACACACACACACATGTAAATTCATATAAAATTTATATAAATTTAAATTAAGTCTTTAACCATAATATTATTGCAGTTCCTCGCAATTGCTTGAGTCTTTTTTATATATATGTTCGGTCATATAGAAAAATATTATTCTATTGCTAAGCTGATTACTCAGTTTACTTTCTTCTTTTTTAAATAATCAAGAATGATATAGTGCTAAGAGCCAAACACAAGGTGTTAGTAATATAAAAAAGGTGTTAGTAATATAAAAAATATTAAAAAAAACTAGGTGTTAGTATATAAAAAAATTAATGATTTTTATTGAATAAATCATTTCAATTTTCTTTACACACTAACATTTTGTGTTTTGCTCTTATTGGCCCTTTATGATTCTTGATTTTTAATCTCAGAGTTTTTTATTCCTTTTATTATACTTTGTAAATAACAGTCATCCCCAACAAAGAATCTTTTTTTAGCAACAGCTTTAAAATGGTCACAAATTTTAGAACAACTCATTATTATCTACTCGAAAGGAGAATCTCCTTACAAAAGTATTATGTAACTTTGTTGCAAAAAAAGTTGATTCGACTCTGTGTAGTGAGCAAACCGTAGTTTTGTTTCGACTTGATATTCTCGATTGAAATATTAAACTTACTAGATTAAAAATATATTTTGAATAAATTTAACGGATTTGCGACGAACTTGTGATAGATTAGCGGATATATACTGAGAAAAGAAACATCTAAAAATTAAAAAATATTTATTAGAGGATGGGTACCATCACATATTTACTTAAATTAAAATTCTTTTCGTTTAAACCGAGTATTTTTTTTTTTCATTTAAATCGAGTATATGCTTGCGCGATGCTCGCAATATATAGGCTCGGAATATAAAAGTTTGAGGTCGAAGATCGCGACGAGAGACCGTTTTTAGCAGGGACGGCGGAAATGAGAATGCGTTTATCGCGGGGAGGGGACGCGGCGGCGAACAGAAATCTCGTTTCCGGCTTACTGGAAAATTGAGGGAAAACCTTATCGCGCCGAGACTTTTACTTACGGAATGTTCAATCGTTTGAATTCTATTTCCCTCCGAACATATCGCGCCCGCGCGCCTCGTTATAAATTTTCAAGTTAACTCCATTCGCTAAATTAATTGCGCATACCTGTGGGCGTTAATGAACGCGCGTCGTGTTTCCTCGGATCGAGTTCGCGGAACGCATAAGCTTCGGAAATATCGTACTCGAGCGCGAAGTACCGCAACTTGCCCGGAGAATTATGAACCGCGAAAGGCTCGTGTGTTCCATTTGAAATTATTCGGCCAATTAAAGTCGCCGGCCGCGTATAAGATACATTGTGAATTTTGTCTGCTAGATTTATCGTCTCTCGCGAGAACCTGCTTTTACCGAAATATTTTTACGTTTTCCTCCCACTCTTTCTTTCTCTCTCTCTCTTCCTTTCTCTTTTTCTCTCTTTCTCCCTTGTCCGCTCGTTCCATCCTTATGCTGCAATTCTAAGCGGAATCGTAAGTCTCGTAAACTTGTTCTCGTAAAATTTATTTCAGAACTTATGAGTATTTACAAGTCTATGCAATATCATAGTCGTGCAATTGCTCATAAATATCTACGATTTCATGTAATTTACGATATTTACAAGTGATGACATGTGATATTGCATAGACTTGTAAATGTACTCATAAGTTCTGACGAATTTTACAAGAACAAGTTACGAGACTTAAGATTCTGCTTAGAATTGCAGCATTAGTGCTCCCTCATCTGAACTACTGCAGTGCAGTAACGAATATTGCTGGAGAGCTTAGCTCACGGTTGTAACGCGCTCACCTAATAATTGCGTTAGATTTATATTTGAATTACTCCCATAGGATGCACATGTGTATCACTCCTCATTTCGAACTTGCTTCTCCTTACTTAGGCTTCACTGGCGTAAAGTCACCAACGCTGTAAGCATTACGTAATTTGTTTATCATTTCGTTATTAAGAATAGATCGCCAGCATTACTATTAAATGCCCACGCATTCAGAGGTGAGACACCGTAGAGAGACACATTCGAGCTGTGGAGGAATTTGCTTGTTATCCTCATATGCCGTACGGAGATTTGCAAACGTTCCTTTAGAGTAATATCACTCACTTGCTACGTAATATGAGTCGCTTTGGTGGCCTTAAAGCAAAGTTACTTGACATTATTGTAGCCAAAAGATTATTATGCAAACAGATAGACAAATCGATTTGCATAGGTAAAGATATCTATGGATAGATAAAGATAATCTACATACACATGTAATGTATTTCACTGTCTTGAATTTGCTGGTTTTCTTTTTTTATTTCGATTTTATATTTTGAATATTATGATATTTTTCTCTTTCTTCCGCTTGAAGGAATTTTTCAGAGCGTATAATCTCTCTCTCTCTCTCTCTCGCTCTCGCTCTCTCTATTTCTCATATTAACGCTAATTAGTAACACACATTTTGTCTTCGAGGCATTGCACGACCTATATACGACTTTACGTGTGCAAACCACCCAATCAGGAACTTCCTCGCGAATTCCATTCAATTCATTTCCGCTGCGATCTGCTAATTGATTGCACGAATATCGGTATGTATCGCGAACGTGCATCTACCTAGGAAGCCACGCGAGATTGCCCGCGAGCATGAGATGAGTCGGAGTGTTCGCTCCTATTCGCGAGGTACTACGAATTTAGGAGGAAAATTGGTGAGAGTGAAATTTAACGGCGCAATTGAATGTTAGATCAAACACGAAGGACACAAGTGCACCTTTGGTGTGATACGTTCCCGACAATTTTTAGACTCCCTGAATCAGTCTCGATTCGTCCGCGACCGTCTGTCCGATTTATTTTAATCGCGAACGGCGCCACAGTAGAGTGAAAAGACAATAATACACGGAGAGAATATCACAGTTCTTTTCATACAAATTCTTCTCGACTTGTTCCCTCAAATAGATTTTCAATAGTATATCTCAGTTCCTAAAATAAAAGTAGCGCGTAAAGTGAAGGGAAAGTCTTGTATGAAACGAAAAGGTAAATTCTTATCAATTCTGTTATGTTATTTGTACACAAATTTCTCTTTCTGAACTATATCTCGCTGGAAACGTAGCAAATTTTTTAACAGCATATTTCCTGAAATATAAGTGGCATGTATGAAATAAAAGGATAGATTTTTTAAAATTTTATTGTGTTTTTCACACAAATTCTTTTCGACTTCACTATATTTTGCTAGAAACACGGCAGATTTTTTGGCGCTACATTTCAATATATAGCATTTTTTAACAGCACGCTGCAGAATGTCGATCTATTCCTCGGCTGCAAAGTTCCATAGTGATTTCCGCCATAAAATTCCTTTTGTGTAATAAAAATTGCGACTCACCATTCCTGGCACATACATCCCGAAAGTATCGTAAACTCGCAGCCGTTTTTATTATCCGCGGAATGTATGCTGGCTCCATCAAAACAGTCGGATTACACGCGCTGTTCGGCACGAAGAGGTGGCGCATCGGATGCCAGCATGCGTCGAGTTCCTCACGCGGTTTTCATCGCGCGCAATTTTCGCGATTAGCGCGACAACGAGCGCGAAAATAGTGGCGCGCCGCAATAAACGGGGGGATCATTTTCAAGAGTGCGAGAGAGCACGCGGCCTTGATTATTCTTGGAACGGGGTATTGGTTTGTTATTTTCAGAGTTTGTTGTGTGTAAACGCCTGGATATTAAGAATCCTCTTTCGCACGTCTCTTCTCTCTCCCTCCCCTTCTTTTTCTCTCCCTCTCTCTCCTCCTCTCCTACCTCAATTTATCTTTCTTCTTCTCTCTCTCTCTCTCTCTTTCTCTCTCTCTCTCTCTCCCTCTTGTATTTTTCCGACGCGCGCTTCTCGCTCTTGTCATTGCATCTAATTGACGCTGAACTCGTCAAATTGAAGCCAAACGGCGATCATTAATAAACAGCACTATCACATCGGTGATGCCGGTAGCCGTCGGATCGGAGAAACTTCGCGATTCAACGTAAAACTGCGTGGAAGTCGAAGTCGAGGGCTAAGCGCCAAGTGGAGCTCGCAGACTCGTGACGATCGTCGGCTCTGCGACAGGATGTTTCCCCAACCGACCGCTCAGCTCTTTTATTATTTTTTCATTTTCCGCGCGACGCATCCGGTCATTGTTTTGCACGATAAGTCGGTCGCGCGAAAACACTTTTCTCGTGCATTATTATTAGCGACGATCGGGAATCGCTTCTCGCGCGTCTCTCTTTCTCTCTCTCTCTCTCTCTCTCTCTCTCTCTCTCTCTCTCTCTCTCTCTTATCTCTCTCGTGCGCGACGTGCGGTGCGACTTGAGGTATTTTGAGATCACCTGCAAAATAACATTGTGCGAGATCGATCGCCAGAAGGGAAAATTGCGCGGCGATTTAATTATTATCCGACATTCATTAGCATAGACACCTGTTTTCTAGGAACCTTCGCGACAGTCAGACCCATTGGAAATGTCAATCTCAGCGTCAAGCACGCGTCTCTACGATTCCCGGCAAAACAATCACCGAATAAGTGGACGTGGCGCGCGAGTGGGGGGAAATTTGGCCACAGGCTCTTTCATTCTCGATGCCGTCACAAATTGCTCGGACATTCGACTTTGCTCGGTCGGTGCTTTAATTCCATCGCGCGGCGATCAGCTCGAGAGCTCCCGGCATTTAAATTTCCACTCAAAAAACACCGCCTGAAATTGACCATGTTCAGCGTAGAAAGCTGCTCTGCAACTGATGCGAGATTCTTGAATCTGATTGCCATGTGCTCTCAGGTTAAGAGCATAGATTCTGTTTCAGTACGGTTTGAACGCTTTTTTCGTTTCGATGCATT